AGTGAACCATGATTGAAGGTTTTCGGTATGTTCAGAGAAGGATTTGGCCGACTGTTTTAAGTGGACTGTGCCCAAAAATACTTTACAAAGGAACTCTTGGGCGATAAATACTTTCAAGTCTTGGAGTGTGTGGAGAAATAATCGATATGTGGACGGAAAGCAAATTCTGAAAGATATCTTAGACATGGAGTATGGATAACCGATTTAAATATGCCGATAAGTACGCAGTCTATTTCGGTATTGAATTATACAAACTGTACCATAACAATTTTTAATTGTCAAAAGAATAAAAATTTATTTGTGTGTTCTATGTATTATTTCGATCAACTACGTCATCAGCGGTTGATATGAGCCGAATATATCGACCTGAGATGACGTCATTAGCGGTTGATGTTCCATATCAACCTGCCATTACGTTATCAGCGGTTGATATGAACCTAATATATCAACCTATGATGACTTCATAACAGGTCGTCGCCAGTTGTACATGATGATATAGCTGACAAATTTTATTATTATTCATGTATATTATCATTTTGTCTGTCCGTGTGTGTGTCTGTGGTTCGCCTACAGGCCGCATTTCTTAACTGATCATCGTGAAACTTTACATACTTATTCCTTATACCCTAAGAATGATCCCTATTGTTTTAGGTGCATGCCCGACCCCCAGGGGTAGAGACACGCCCATTTCTCGTATTTGTTTGTCGTCTACAGGCCGCATTTCTTAATGTATCTTGAAACTTTCCATACTTATTCCTTATGCCCCAAGGAACATCCCTATTGTTTGTGGTGCATACTCACCCCCAGGGGCAGAGACACGCCTATTTTCTTTTTGTGTGTCGCCTATATGCCGCAATTCGGAATCGATTGTCTTGAAAACTTTTTATACTTATTCCTTAAAGATGACCTCTATTCTTTTTAGTGCATGCCCGACCCCCTGGAACAGAGCCACGGCCAATTTTTGTGTGTGTCTGTGTTTCGCCTACAGGCCGCAATTCTTAACATATCCTTTTGAAACTTTTCATACCTATTCATTATACCCTAAGGATGATCCCTATTGTTTTTGGCGAATGCCTGAGCCCCAGGGAGAGAGCTACACCCATGTTTTCTTTGTGTGTCTGTGTATTGCCAACAGGCCACAATTCTTAATGGATCATCTTTGAACCTGGCATCTATATTCCTTATAGCCTAAGGGCGGCAACTATTGATTTTGATGCATGTCCGGACCCCCAGGGGCAGAGCCGGGCCCCTTTTTATACGCCCACATTGAAATGTGGTCGTATATTGTTGTCGCCCCCGTCCGTCTGTCCGGCGTCCACAATTGCTTGTTGACGCTCTATAGGCTAAAGTTAATATCCGATTGACTTTAAATTTATACACAATGTTTAAGGACATGAGACGAAAAATCCTATTGATTTTCAGCGATTTCCGATAATTACTGCCAGAGTTATGGCCCTTGATCACTTTGAAAAATCTTGTGGACGCTCTAGAGGCTAAAGTTAATATCCGATTGACTTTAAAGGAGCTAAATCGCTAACATTTGGGACCTAGAAATTGACACAAGTGGGTCGCAACTCATATAATACTGTAATATGAATGTATATAAACTGATATACATTCAATGGTTTCCGTTTTTACTCTAATTTCAAATCAGTTATGTTCCGCGAAATAAGCCATCAGTCTCAATCGAATGCAAATTTCTAGCGCCTGGTTATTCCAGTCTACATACGCCGTTTGGTTTGGTGCAATATGTCTAGCCTCGTTCCTCGAGTCTCTTGCTAGAACTGGGGCTGAAACGCATTATGGATATCAGAAGCCCATCTTTTTCCAGTAAGATCACAGCATCAATTTTGATTTAAATTGACAAATAATTTGTGTTTTCAATGTTGAAGATTTTGGATGATATTGAGTTAGAGACTTAGCTACTTTAAATTGATACACAGTGTTTAAGGTCATGAGGCGAAGAATCCTATTGATTTTCAGCGATTTCCGATAATTACTGCCAGAGTTATGGCCCTTGATCAGTTTGAAACATCTTGTGGACGCTGTAGAGGCTAAAGTTAATATCCGATTGACTTTAAATTTATACAGTGTTTAAGACGCCGATTGATTTTCAGCGATTTCCGATAATTACTGCCAGAGTTATGGCCCTTGATCACTTTGACAAATCTTCTGGACGCTATCATCCGATTGACTTCTGATTGATACACATAGTTTATGGTCTTGAGACGAACAAGTATATTGATTTTCAATGAATCTTTATGACTTGAACAGCTAAATCCATGATGTTTAAAGTTTCGTATACTAAACGTTAGCATGGGACAGACCTTTATAAGATAGGTTGCCAGGCAACGAAACATACACCCACAGCAGCTAAATCGTCCGGACAGTCAACAAGAGTTGTCGCATATTTTTACTTTTTTCGATAATGAAACATTTATAATACACTAAAATCTGATTAAGAGCAACAACTCAGAAAACCATTAGAATTTGTTTGGTTTTTATAAAGTTCTGCCCCATGCTAACGTTTTGTATACAAAACTTTTAATACTGTATCATGGATTTAGCTGTTCCAAGTCATAAAAATTCATTGAAAATCAATATACTTGTTCGCCTCAAGATCTTAAACTCTGTATATCAATCTGAAGTTAATCGGATATTAACTTTGGCCTCTAGAGCGTCCACACGATTTTTCAAAGTGATCAAGGGCTATAACTTTGGCAGTAATTATCAGAAATCTTTGAAAATCAATAGGATTCTTCGCCTCGTGACCTCAAACACTGTGCATAAATTTAAAGTCAATGAGATTAACTTTAGCCTTTAGAGCATCCACAAGGTTTTTTGAAGTGATCAAGGGCCATAACTCTGGCAGTAATTATCGAAAATCACTGAAAATGAATAGACTTCTTCGTCTCATGACCTTAAACACTGTGTATAAATTTAAAGTCAATCGGATATTAACTTTAGACTCTAGAGCGGCCACAAGATTTTTCAAAGTGATCAAGGGCCATAACTCTGGCAGTAATTATCGTAAATTGCTGAAAATCAATAGGCTTCTTCGTCTCATGACCTTAAACACTGTGTATAAATTTAAAATCAATCGGATATTAACTTTGGCCTCTATAGCGTCCACAAGGTTTTTTGAAGTGATCAAGGGCCATAACTCTGGCAGTAATTATCGAAAATCACTGAAAATGAATAGACTTCTTCGTCTCATGACCTTAAACACTGTGTATAATTTTAAAGTCAATCGGATATTAACTTTAGACTCTAGAGCGGCCACAAGATTTTTCAAAGTGATCAAGGGCCATAACTCTGGCAGTAATTATCGTAAATTGGTGAAAATCAATAGGCTTCTTCGTCTCATCACCTTAAACACTGTGTATAAATTTAAAGTCAATCGGATATTAACTTTGGCCTCTAGAGCGTCCACAAGATTTTTTGAAGTGATCAAGGGCCATAACTTTGGCAGTAATTATCGGAAATCGCTGAAAATCAATAGGTTTCTTCGTCTCATCACCTTAAACACTGTGTATAAATTTAAAGTCAATCGGATATTAACTTTGGCCTCTAAAGCGTCCACAAGAAGTGATCAAGGGCCATAACTCTGGCAGTAATTATCAGAAATCGCTGAAAATCAATAGGCTTCTTCGTCTCTAATGGTTTTCTGATAATTACTTAATGAGTTGTTACTCTTAATCAGATTTTAATGTATTATAAATGTTTCATTACCGAAAAAAGTAAAAATATGCGACAACTCTTGTTGACTGCCCAGACGATATAGCTGCTGTGGGCGTATGTTTCGTTGCCTGGCAACCTATCTTTGTGTTTATCGTAATCGTATACAGGCCGCAATTCTGAACGGATCAGATTGGAACTTGGCATATGTCCACCCCCAGGGGCACAGCCACGCCCAATTTTTGTGTTTTTTGTCCACAGGCTGGAATTCTATATGGATTATCCTGGCATATTTATTCCTTATAGCCTAAGGGTAGCAACTATTGATTTTGGTGCATGTCCCGACCCCCAGGGGGAGAGCCACGCCCAATTTATGTGTTTAGCACCCTAAGGCCACATTTCTGAATGGATTATCTTGGAACTTGGTATACTTTTTCCTTATACCCTAAGGACAGAGACTATTGATTTTGGTGCATGATCCCCCACCCCCCCACCTTTGGGCGGTGCCACACCCACTTTTTGTTACTATTTTGTCTGTAAATGATATATAGGCTGCAATTATGAACAGATTTAGATCCAGTTCAGAATGAATTATCATAGGGTTGTACCTATTTATATTGGTCCAACCCACGCCTAATTTTTGTGTTTTTTTTGTCTACAGGCAGGAATTCAAAATGAATCATCCTGGAACCTGGCATATTTATTCCTGTAAGGATAGCAACTATTTATTTTGGTACATGTCCTGACCCCCAGGGGTGTGGTACCACACCCACTTTTTTTGTCTGTAAATACTCTACAGGTTGCTATAATTAACAGATTTTGTTCAAATTTAGCATTTCAATCATTTCAATAATAGGGTGGTACCTATTTATATTGTTCCAAATCCACCCCCCAGGGGCAGAGCCACGCCAAATTTTTGTATTTTTATCTGCAGGCTGCAATTCTGAATGGATCATCTTGGAACTTTGCATATTTATTCCTTAAACTGTAAAGACAGCAACCATTTATTTTGGTGCATGCCCCAACTCCCTGGGGCAGTGTCACACACTTTTTTGTTAATTTTTAGTCTCTAAATTTAGCAAAACAAACTCAACACCTAGCCTTTTGTTGCCTCTTGTCATATTACAAATTACAGTCATTGCAGCTATTTCATATTTCATTCTCTTCATATTAATGAAAGCAGGAATGTGGACGTATATTGCAGTGTTAGCGATGCTCTAGTCATAATTATATTTGTTAAAATTTTGTACAGGATTAGGTGGTGATCTCAGAATAGACTCGGGCCTTTAAAAATAATTTAAATGAGAAAAACAATTGTTAACAATGGTGGATAAATTTATTTTCCCAATCTAATCTATATCAACTGCATAGTCAAATATTATTGCACTTTAAAACAATTAACAAGGTTTAAAACAATTAACAAGATTAAAGAATGTGTAAGTTTAACAGTTGTTTAAAACATTTAATAGATGTTAGTACCATACACCCCCAATAACAATAAATATTACACCCTGTAAAAATACATCATTTCTGCAGTGGATGGTCTGTCACTGTGTACACGTTGTTAGGTAATCAGAAAGAGCACAAAATTCACAGTCTATAAAAGAAAATTAACAAAAATCAGTGGCTGCCAGGCAGGATACGCCCACATTTTGCAAGAGATGGATAGAGAACAAGCTAAACAAAAAGTGATTTTTCGAACAATCAATAATTCAGGAAGTTACGATCCGATATGCGCGAATATCGACACGAACCAAGATCTTTGGGTTATAAAGATATATTTCAAGTTTCATCAAAACCTTGATATGCCATATGTTTACACTATTTGCGTACGAGGGGTGGCAATTTTGTCCGGCAGTTTTGGTCCGATTTTCACGAATTTCAAACTCAACCATCATTAGGGTGTAATGGTTATATACTATAACTTTTTTTTTTTAATCGGATAAAAATTGTGACCTCTGGAGGGATCACAGAAAAAATGTGATTTTTCGTACAATCAGGGGACATAATTCAGGAAGTTACGATCCGATATGCGCGAATTTCAAAAGTAACCAAGATCTTTGTGTTATAGACATGCATTTCAAGTTGCATCAAAATCGGATCAAAATTGTGAGCTCTAGAGGGTCGACAACATTGATATACCATATTTTTACACTGTTTGCATACACGGGGCGGCCATTTTGTCCAGCAGTTTTGGTCCGATTTTCACGAAATTCAAACTCAACGTTTTTTTAAATCAGAATAAAATTGTGACCTCTATAGGGTCCTCAACCTAAAAAAACATGATTTTTCGTACAATTAGGGGCCATAATTCAGGAAGTTACGGTCCGATATAGGCGAATATCAAAAGGAACCCAGATATATGGGTTATAACCTTAAATTTAAAATTTCAACAAAATCAGATAAAAATTGTGACCTCTATAGGGTCCACAAGCTAAAACGTGATTATTCGTACAATCAGAGGCCATAATCCATGAAGTTACAGTCCGATACATGCCAATATCCAAAGGAACCGAGATCTTAGGGAGATAAACCTATATTTCAAGTTTCGTTGAAATCGGATAAAAATTGTGACCTGTAGAGTGTCTACAAACAATTGTGGACGGACGGACAGGGGTGACGACAATTTACGTCCACATAAAAATAAACAGAGAGATCCTAGCGATGTGGGTTTTAATATAAAAGAAGATTTTGCAGTGGAGATTTTGAATGGTTTATCAATAAAATAATTATTTAACACCTCATTTGTTCCAATTAAATTGTATGAAAAACTTGTTCTCTTGTTTAGAGAACTGACAGCTCTCAAGTAGGAATTGCTTCATTTAAAAATAAATATTATATAATCAATTTGAGTGTGTGCGATAATTACATCGCTTGCTGCAGACAATAAGGTTGTGCACCCAAGATAGTTAAGTCAAGTGCGCAGGATAATACTATCGAACAGGCCACTACCCTAACCCATTTGGTCACAAGTCGTTTACCAAAGCCATCCAAGTTGCTTCACTTCGTATCTCTTTATTGTTTGCATGTCTTAAATTAGACACCGTAATATCACTATTTTGGCACATACATATACATTCTCAGAATAATTTTGTGAATTTCTGTCATTAAAGCTAAACAGTTAGAACAGTGCTTTAAACTGCAAGCAACCAAGATAGTTACCAGACATGATGAAGAAGAATTTATATTGAAATTATTTTCAGTTTTAAAGAAAATTTACAAAGAGTATACAAAATTTATGTTAGAAGATAGTGTTAAAGGATAATGATACTTTTAATAAAGATATGTACATAAATATCATGTTGCCAACTACAGTACTCCAATCAACATCCTGTTGAATGTAACACTATGCCTAGCGCTATGCAGTCGCTGGTTAGATGTGGAAAATACGCGGAGACAACTCCCCACATCCAACGTGTGACGCATATTTTTTTTTTCTCTGCTACATATTTTAGAACAGCCCTTGATTGTCCAGAATTTGTCATTGGTTGTCTTTGTAATTCTTTAACTGGTTCTTTAATTGCCACTCTGACATTTCACGTTGTCAGCCCCAGAATATTGTATGTTTAACAAACACGATGACAGGTACGGTTTCTAAAGTTTTATGTCATATTATAGCGGGATACATGGATACAAGCATAGTATAGATTATAATACTAAATTCACTCTCAAACCCTAGCCAGTCAGACCCGCTGGGTGAGTCTGCTGATAGAAACTGTTACATTTTTTCACTTCCAGCATATGTCTGCTGTCTGACGAATTCTCACAAGTATAATAGTTTTGTAGCTTTGAGTGTTGGACCTTCAATTATCTAATTGGTCAAATATGATGTAAATAATTAGAGAGATTGGTTTAATTGGGCCAAATGACGTCAAAACCCACCCTTATATAGATAGTGGAAATTTACCTGAGAAATTTCCCACAAGATAATGTTATCAACCTTCAATTGAATGTTTACCACATTATGACTTTTTTTATGTAACAATATGCCACTCATTCGCTAACTTGATTTAAGTACATATATATGAATCTAATAACTTGCCAAAGATATTAATTAATACAATATAATGCCATCATTAATTTCAAGAGCAAAAATTCTAGCAATATTGCTTCATACAGTACAACCCTCCATTAAGGAAAATGTTATTGACATTATTGTTCCTAGTAAACGTCCATTAAATCATAGTAAATGCATAATTTATCTTGGTTCGCTTTAAATATCATTTGTTTACAGCTGGTGGATGCTATTTTGAAAGGTCTAATAAAGCTTAACCATATTCACACATTACCCTTCCAGGAGCAGATAATGCTTTTTTCCAAAGCAAGGTTGACCAAAAAGTTTCATGTTAAAACAGTTTGTCACATTTCCGTCTCATATGATGATCACCCAATATATAGTCAGGTTGGTGTCAGTGGCAATGATATCGTACCCAATACCATATCTAATATTTCTAACAAAGCGATGTAAGGAAAAAGAGAGTGAGTGAACCGTGCAAAATAAATTTATTCTAGCTTTTGCAAGCTAGACACTTATAAAATTCTTAAAGTTTTTATAATAAAGCATATGCTGATTGTACCTTTTGAGGTTTTATAACATTTTATGTAATATATTGGCAACTCAGTAGTATGAAAATTGCATAGTTCTTTATTTTGTCCTTTCCAGTTTGATCCAACGTAGTGTATAAATGACCAGCCGAGTGGAGTGATGCCAAATTTGTTTCTTTAAATAACAGTTATTTTAATCTTACAATTTATCGGCCCACACTTTAAGTCTTTTTTGAGTCATACTTAAAATCCTCCAACCCGAAAAAGTTCAAATCCCAATGTAGACAGTCAAGCATAGTTTTGGTAAGGGTTGTATAATGATAACAAGAACAATGAAGATGGATAAATAATATAAGTATAGGGATATTGCAAGTTTATACAGAATTGACAAATAAATTGATGAGAACAGTATATATAGTGCAAACAGTATTGATTCTGAGAGGCATATCAAAAAAAAAAAAAAAAAAAAAATCATCATAGCATTTAATTCATATCATCTCTTTGGTTTTTTGTTTTTGGAAAATAACTTTGTTTCTTCATCAGCCTCCTCTTCTAACTCTGTATCTGTTTCATTGTCAGTTGACTTGGCATTTATTATTTTTTTGATAGTTTTTTTCACAGCTTGTTTAGTTTCTGCTTTATGGCGTTTTTTTGATATGAAGTGTAAACAAATTAAAGATATGTTGAGTATAATACTCATTGCTGCTACCACACTCATAGATATAACACTACTGACACAAATACTGAAATAAAAACAGCATTTTAAAGGGAAACAAAAAGAATCAACAATGTTAGTATTGTTACAAAACAACAACAAAAAAAACCCTCTGAATTTTGATAGGTTTCCATCTCCAAGCAAATCTTAGCAAGTCTTAAAAATTATGACCAGTAGTACAGAGTTTACAAGGTTTTGGTGATAGGTGCCATAACCCCTTGTAAAATAAGAGCATGACTTCAAATATGATAGAGTTCCTTCTTATGACTAACCAAGCAAGTGTAGTAAGTTTCAAAAGAAAAAAACCCACATGTATTCTGATTTTGGACAAATTATAGGTTGCCAGGCAATGCAACATATGCCCACGGCCAGGGGCGTAAAAGTGTGTGTGGGGGGGTGTACCCCCGCAGGAAAAAAAAATAGTCGGTCGCAAAATCCGTGCAGTCGGTCGCAAAATAAGAGCAGTCGGTATCAAAATAAGTGTTCACTGCATACGTCACGCTACTCACGCAAAACTTTAGTATAAAATAAACATGTCAACTTATCATGTTTGAATAAATGTTGTGTTTCACTCTTATTCTGTTGTGAGTATGTTGTTCTAAGAGAGAGAGAGAGAGAAATGGGGTTTAACGTCCACTCGACACAAACTAGGTCATTTCAGGACTAACATATGGTTCAACTTTATTTCCATAATTCACTTGCGCGTAGGGGTCTATAGCTGTGGGAGGAAACCCGAGGACCCGGAGAAAAGCCACGAGCTTGTCACGTACAACCGGGGAATCGAAACCCCGCCAGTTGACTCAATGACAGACCATATGATACAGCACGCGCGTGCTAACCTTTTGGCCATCCAACCGCCCCTGTTGTTCTAAGAACAAAGGGGGGTTGGATGGCTGAATGGTTAGCGTTCGCGCGCTGTATCATAAAGTCTGTCATTGAGTCGACTGGCGTGGTTTCAAAACCCCCGGTTGTACATGACAAGGAGTAGGGTCGCCTGTCCAACCTCGTGGGTTTTCTCCGGATCCTCCGGTTTCCTCCCACTGCTAAAGACCCCTATGCGCAAGCGAATTATTGAAATAAAATTAAACCATATGTTGGTCCCGAGGTGACCTAGTTTGTGTCAAGTGGACGTTAAACCCCATTTCTCTCTCTCTCTCTAAGAACAAAATTTCCCTCAGGGAGAAAAATAGTTGGTCTCAAAATAAGTGCAGTCACTGCAGTCGGTCTCAAAATTATGCATACGTCACACAAAACTATAGCATAAAATAACCATGTCTGCTTGTCATGTCTGAAAAAATGTTTTGCACTCTTATTCTGTTGCATGTTGTTCTAAGAAATGTTTCCCCCCCCCCCCATGGTAAAAAAAATAGTCGGTCTCAAACAGAGTGCTCACCGCAGTCGGTCTCAAACTAAATGAATTAATGAGGTAAACAAACAATGCCAAAATAGAAGGGAATAATTTTGTGCGAATTCGTGCACCTAAATTGCAACGGTATAAAATAACCTAGTCAGCTTGTCATGTTTGAAAAAAAAATAATTCCCTGTTATGGGTATGTTGGTCTAAGAAAATGAGAGATATTTCAAAATGTATTCTTGATTGTCATACGAATAATGTTAGTCAAACAGTTGGTAAGAAGTTATCGGAAGTATAGTTTGTTTCAGAAATACGTAAAAAATCTTTGAATTAAGAAATTTTAAGGCGATCTATTGTGCTTATGAATTTTTACTTGTTGCATATTCAATCCCAGGAGAAATTGAAACATATTTTACTCATGATGTATGTGTTTTCCGACCATTAGAATTCTGCAAAATCTCTTCCCAAAGTCCAAGGCATTTCATAGACCAAGTAAGCGCCCCATTGAGAAATGAGCTACCTTACCCTTACTGATCTAACTGACTATATATATTAGATGAGCTACCTACCCATACTGATCTGACTGACTATATATTAAATGATGAGATTTGATTTCAGCCTCCACAAAACAAGAAGATGCTGAAAAAAATCATGTAACTGTTTAACTATATTTGTGACAGCTTCTGTTTGAAAGGTCAAGATCTTTTCAACTTATGACCCACTTTTGTTGTACAATTGAAGGTGGCAGTATTCATACTATCATCAAATTTAAAACAAGTGGTTGCCATGCTAGATACGCTTACAATTTGCAAGAGATGGACAGAGAAAAATCTAAAAAAAACCAAGATGACTAGTCATCATCATCCCGCGCCCTTGAACTTGTTTGGAAGGCATAAGGAAAAACAGCTTCTTGGAATATCAATGGGATTAGTCAGAAGATTTATACTCTGATAATAGTAGCTCGGCAAGGCACAGTCACTACTCCCTGTAAGGTTTGCACAACAACCTTTGCCTACCTCAATCAGCTGCTATATGTTAAACATTAAGCTTATACATCAGAAAATAAAATACTTTAATAGTTTGATGTTTGTATAAAGTTTTAAAAAGATTTCTCTGAACAGATAATGAAATATGCTCTAGAAATGAAATCGGGATAGAAGGAAGGTCATCAAAAAATAAAAGAATAGGTTGATAAATGTAAAAGTGTTATAAAGGTATCTTAAACAGTTTCTGAGATATAATTATATTCCCAAAAATAATTCAAATGTGTAGTAAAAATCATTCAACAGAGAATTTTTTTTCCATGGCAACGCAAAAATTATTAAATCCGACAAATTTCTATAAAGGCACAACTACTATAATAGGATGATGTGTGTTCAAAGTTTCAAAAAGGTATTTTGAACGATTTATGAGAAATGGTTCGGAAACAAAATTGTGCATAAAAACTAAGTCAAATTTGTTTCCATAGAAACACAAAACTGATTAAATCCCAGAAATTCCAAATTAGCAAAAGGCACAACTAATATAATAAGTTAATGTTTGTAGAAAGTTTCATGAAGATTTCTTGAATGGTTATGAGATATGCTCTGTAAACGAATTAGAACACCAAGAACTAAGTCAAATTTGTTTGCATGGTAACACGAAAAATATAAATCCCAGAAAATCCTAAATAGCAAAACGCACAACTATCACAGACTGATGTTTGTACAAGTGCCAAGAAGATATCTTGAACGATTTATGACATATGCTCCGGAAACAAAATTATACACCAAAAACTAAGTCCAATTTGTTTCCATGGAAACCCAAAAAATATAAATCCCAGAAATTCCTAAATAGCAAAAGGCACAACTATTGTAATAGGTTGATGTGTGTACAAAGTTTCAGAAAGATATCTTGAACGGTTTATGAGATATGCTCCGGAAACAAAATTGTACACCAAAAACTAAGTCAAATTTTTTCCATGGAAACACAAAAAATATATATCCCAGAAATGTCTAAATAGCAAAAGGCACAACTACTGTAATTGGGTTGATGCCTGTACAAAGTTTCAAAAAGATATCTTGAACGGTTTATGAGATATGCTCCGGAAACAAAATTATTCATCAAAAACTAAGTCAAATTTGTTTCCATGGAAACACAAAAAAAATATAAATCCCAGAAATGTTTAAATAGCAAAAGGCACAACTACTGTAATAGGTTGATGTATGTACAAAATTTCAGAAAGATATCTTGAACGGTTTATGAGATATGCTCCGGAAACGAAATCGGAACGGACGGACGGACGGACCCCCATTTCAATATTCCTCCCTAACTTCGTTCGGCGCGGGATAAAAAAAGGAAGCAATTTTTCTTACAATCAGGGGCCATAATCCAGGAAGTTACAATCCAACCGATATGCGTGAATATCTACAGGAACCGAGATCTTCAGGATATAAACATATTTTAAGTTTCATCACAATAGGAAAAAATTGTGACCTCTAGAGGGTCCACAACTATTTGCATACAAGGAGCGGCCATTTTGTCGAGCAGTTTCGTTCAGATTTTTACAAAATTGTGACTTCTAGAGGGTCCACAACCTTGGTATTACATACTTTTCACTATTTGAGTACAAGGAGCGTCCATTTAATTTATTTACAAGACAATTTCATACAAGGTTCTACAAACTGAAACAAGGGCCTTAACTCTGGAAGTAATTTACAGAAATTGTTGAAATTTGACTGGCTTTTTCATTTTACTAATTCAAATAATACATATAAATTTCAAGCAGATTGGATTATAACTTTTGCCACTTGAATGTTCACAAGTTCAACAAAGTAAAACAAAGGCCATAAATTTTGAAGCAATCGACAGAAATTGCTGGAATTCAATAGGATTCTTGATTTCACTAATTTAAATTTCATACAGATCCGATGACAACTTTCATCATTTGAGTATTCACAAGGTTCAACAAGGTTAAACAATGGCCATAACTTTACAAGTAATTATTTGAAAATGCTGAAATTCAAAAGGATTCTTTGTTTCACTAAGTTAAATGATGCATACAAATTTCGTACAGATCAGATGAAAACTTTCGTCCTTCGAATGTTCACAAGGTTCAACACATAAGTCTACAAGTAATTATTTTAAAATGCTGAAATTCAATATGATTCTTCGTTTCACTAATTTAAATGATGCATATAAATTTCGTACAGATCAGATAACAACTTTCGCTCCTTCAAATGTTTACAAGGTTCAACAAAGTTAAACAAGGGCAATAACTCTAGACATAATTATTGGAAATTGCTTAAATTCAATAGGAGTCTTCGTGTTACTAATTTAAATGATCTGTGTAAATTTCAGACAGATCGGATGATAACTATTATCATAAGAGTATTTACAAGGCGCAACAAAGTGAAACAAGGGCCTTACTCTTGACGTAATTAACGGAAATTGATGAAATTCAATATGATTCTTTGTTTTACTAATCTAAATGATGCATATAAATTTTATACAGATCGAACAATACCTTTTGTTGTAGGAGCATTCACAAGGTTCAACAAAGTGAAACAAGGGCCATAACTCAAGAAGAAATTAACGAAAATTATTGAAATGAAATAGGATTCTTCATCTCACTAATGTAAACAACATAGTTTCAAAACAATCAGATGATAAATGTAGGCTGTATAGTGTTCACAAGAAATTGTGGATGATGGACGAATGGATGTACGAACGGGGGCGACGGCAATATACGACAACATTTCTATGTAGGCGTATAATAAAAATTGTATCCTCTATAGGGTACAGAAGCTAAAAACGTAATTTTTCGTACAATCAGGGGCCATAATCCAGGAAGTCAATGTCCGATATGCGCGAATATCGACAGGAGCGAAGATCTTTGGGATATAAACATATATTTTAAGTTTCATAAAAATCAGATAAAAATTGTGACCTGTTAAGGGTCTACAACATTGGTATTATATACTCTTACAAAATTTGCGTACAAGGAGAGGCCATTTTGTCAGGCAGTTTCGGACCGATTTTCACGAAATTCGAAGTTAACCGTCATTAGGGTGTAACGGTGATACATTTAAACGTTTTTTAAAATCAGATAAAAATTGTGATCTCTAGTGGATCCACAAGCTTAAAACGTGACTTTTCGTACAATCAGAGGCCATAATCCAGGAAGTTAAGGTCTGATATGCGCGAAAATCAAAAGGAACCAAGATCTTTGGGACATAAACATATATCATAAGTTTCATCAAAATTAGAGGGTCCACAACCTTGATATACCATACTTTTACACTATTTGCGTATTAGGAGTGGTCATTTAGTCGGGCAGTTTCCGTCCGATTTTCACGAATTGGAACTCAATCATCATAAGGGTCTAACGATGATATATTTGAACGGTTTGGTAAATCAGATAAAGATAGGTTGCCAGGCAACAAAACTTATGCCCACAGCAGCTAAGTCGCATATTTTTTCTATTGTCGGTAATGAAACATTTATAATACACTAAAATCTGATTAAGAGTAACAACTCATTAAGTAATTATCATAAAATCATTAGAATTTGTTTGGCTTTTAGTTCTGCTCCATGCTAACGTATACGAAACATTTAATATCATAGATTAAGCTGTTCAAGTTATCAAAATTTGTCTCAAGACCTTAAACTCTATGTATCAATCTAAAGTCAATCGGATGGGAATCTTTGTCTCACGCACAGACAGGAGCGATGGCATAATAAGTCCACATGAAAATGTGGGCGTATAAAAAAGCTACATATATTTTTAAGTTTCTTTTTGATAGTCATTTAGATTAAATACAGTATAAATATCAAAGTATCCAAAATGACAAATTGTAATAGATCAGATTCTAAAACTTAGTTATGTCGTATTTACTGAAAACCATATTGAATCAATGTCACATCAAGAAAATTTCATAACAAAATACATATGTATGTATGTAAACATACTTACCTTGTTGAAGATCAGAAGAAAGAGTAGATAAATTACAGCTGCCTGTTACTGGATGACAAAAACATCCATTATCACATGTACACACTTCTTTACAGTTATCACCATAGTAACCAAATGCACATTCTGTAAACCCAGCAAATGTAGTAATAACAAAATTGACAAGCTTTTTTAATAAGTAACATCTCAATTTAACTCTTGAGTTAGATCAGTGGAAATATTTTTTATTTGAGCTGATTTGACTATACTATGATTTGATTTGTTAATAAGATACACTACACACTTTTCTAGTTAAAAACCTCCACCCATATCCCTAATCCAATAATATTAATTGGTGGAAGTTACAAAACCTCTTTAATGAAACCCAAAAATGAATACAAACAAGCATTTCATTATTAATATTACCCACATCATTGAATTCAATATACAACAGAAATATGCCCACTTTTGGAAGAGATGGATAGAGAACAAGCTAAAAATAAAAGCGATTTTTTGCTCTATCAGGGGCCATAATCCAGAAAGTTATGGTCTGAAATGCGTAAATATCGAAAGGGACCGAGATCTTTGGATATAAAGATATATTTTAAGTTTCATCAAAATCGGATAAAAATTGTGACCTCTAGAGGTTCCACAAGCTTCGAATTAGATACTTTTACACAATTTGCGTACAAAGAGAGGCCATTTTGTCGCTCAGTTTCGTTTCGATTTTCCCCAAATTCAACTTCAACTTTCATTATGGTGGAATGTTGCTATATTTAAACGATTTTTAAAAACAGATTAAAAATTGTGACTTCTAGAGAAGCCACAAGCAGAAAACCCCCCACGATTTTTCGTACAATCTGTGGCTATAAGCCCGGAAGTTATCGCCCGGTATGCGCAAATATCAAAAGGAACCATGATCTTTGTGACATAAACACATGTTTTAAGTTCTATCAAAATTGTGACCTCTAGAGGGTCCACAACCTTGATATTACATACTTTAACACTATTTGTGTACATGGAGCGGACATTTTGTCCGGGAGTTTCAGTCAAGCTTTTTTTAAATTGATTAAAGATAGGTTGCCAGGCAACGAAACATACGCCCACAGCAGCTGAATCGTCCGGGCAGTCAACAAGAGTTGTTGCATATTTTTACTTTTTTTCGGTAATGAAACATTTATAATACATTAAAATCTGATCAACAGTAACAACTCATTAAGTAATTATCAGAAAACTATTATAAAGTTTTGCCCCATGCTAACGTTTAGTATACAAAACTTTTAACATCATGGATTTAGCTGTTCAAGTCATAAAAATTCATTGAAAATCAGTATACAATATACTTGTTCGTCTCAAGACCTTAAACGCTGTGTATCAATCCGAAGTGATCAAGGGCCATAACTTTGGCAGTAATTATCGGAAATCGTTGAAAATCAATATGATTCTTTGTCTCATGACCTTGAACACTGTGTATAAATTTAAAGTCAATCGAATATTAACTTTGGCCTCTAGAGAGCGTCCACAAGATTTTTTGAAGTGATCGAGGGCCAAAACTCTGGCAGTAATTATCGGAAATCGCTGAAAATCAATAGGCTTCTTTGTCTCATGACCTTAAATACTGTGTATAAATTTAAAGTCAATCGGATATTAACTTTAGCCTCTAGAGCGTCCACAAGATTTTTCAAAGTGATCAAGGGCCATAATTCTAGCAATAATTATCGGAAATTGCTGAAAATCAATAAGATTCTTCATCTCATGACCTTAAACATTGTGTATAAATTTAAAGTCAATCGGATATTAACTTTAGCCTCTAGAGCGTCTCCAGGATTTTTGAAGTGATCAAGGGCCATAACTCTGGCAGTAATTATCGGAAATCGCTGAAAATCAATAGGTTTCTTCATCTCATGCCCTTTAAACACTTTGTATATTGAAGTCAATCGGACATTAACTGTAGCCTGTAGAGTGTCCACAAGCAATTGTGGACGCCGGACCACCGGACCGATGTGTGGACGGACGGGGACGACAATAATATACGACCACATTGAAATGTGGTCGTATAAACATTGTGACCTCTATTATACAGGAACAACTAGCTAAAGACATGATTTTTCATACAATCAGGGTCCATAATTCAGGAAGTTACGGTCTGATATGCGCAAATATGGAAAGGAACTGGGATCTTTAGGTTATAGACATACATCTCAAGTTTCATCAAAATCGGATACAAATTTTGCCTTTAGAGGTTACACAAGCTATGAAAATGTGGGCGTTTAAAAAATTATTCTACTGATATTGAGTCCTCAATAATGACTACATGTTTATTTGCCAATTCTATCATGAGAACGTATCAAATATGCACGAATTTGCTGTTTTGGATTACTATGGCATCTTTCTTTATCTCTGTGCAAATTCATTTTATGGTATACCAACTTCAAATCTAAACATCTCAGTCAGTTTTTAAAGATAAGTGTACGTATCACTTACCATTTTAAAACTCTATGAATACATGGTGTGTTTTGTTTCTTTTGACTCGTGTGTCTTATTTAACCAGAAGCCATTACACATGTACTTTGAGACAATTTTTAATGTGATGTGAACACCTGGTACAATAGAATGTTTTAAGAATTTATAAGGAGCAGACAGTTAGTGTTGAAATAAATACAGATATTCACAGAATATTTACCTGTTTCACAGAATTTTCCTGTATATCCTGGTGAACAATTACATCTACCAGATATACTATCACAATATCCATCATGTAAACAATAACATTGTTTAGAACAATTATACCCATAATATCCTAAAGTACATGGTGTAGAACAATTATACCCATACCATCCATCACTACATACACAACCATCTAAAATAAATATATACATCACAAAATCAACTTTTATACACTACATATATACACAACCATCTAAAATAAATGTATACATTACAAAATGTGAATAGATGAGACATATTTATAAACTGCAAGTCTCTTTTTATAAAGTTTAGAGCAATCCAACCATGTATCTATACATAGCTTAAGCAGAAAATTCTCATGCTCAAACTTAGTAATGGTTTTGATGTAGTGAAACTATACACCAAGTTTCATCACTCTCATCCAGTTAGAATCGAAGTAGTTATGTTCCAAAATCTCAAACAATTAGGCATCGAACATTTGCCTAATAAATACTTCCACCAAGTTTGAACATTCTACCTCAATTAGAAGGAGAGTTATAATTATTGTGTTCTGAAGTCTTGACCTGTCAAATTGTAGTCTCAGCTTAGCCTAAGAAGAAATTGCTTATCATCAAACTTAGTCAAGGGAATGATGTAATGATGTAAGAATCAAAGTATCGACCAGTTTTAATTGCTCATCTATTATCACTCTGCTTAACCTAAGCAGAAAATGCTCATTATCAAACTTAGTCATGGTATTGATGCAATAAAACTATACACCAAGTTAAATCAAATCATTGTCCAATAAAAAGGCATATCAAAGATTATCAACCACAGAGTGAGATGATTACCCATAACACTTGCCAGCTGACACTGGAATATTCGGAGTAACTTTTTAAAAGACAAGATCGGAGGCTGCATGTATATGAACCAGCGGATGCCAGGCAGGATACGCCCACATTTTGCAAGAGATGGATAGAGAACAAGCTAACAACAAAGATAGGTTGCCAGGCAATGAAACATACACCTACAGAAGCCTAATCTTCCGGGCAGTCAACAAGAGTTGTCGCATATTTTTACTTTTTTCGATAATGAAACATTTATATGCACTAAAATCTGATTAAGAGTAACAACTCATTAAGTAATTATCAGAAAACCATTAGAATTTGTTTGGTTTTAAATAGTTCTGCCCCATGCTAAAGTTTAGTATACAAAACTTTTAATATCATGGATCAATATACTTGTTCGTCTCAAGATCTTAAACTCTGTGTATCAATCTGAAGTCAGTCGGATATTGAAAATCAATATACTTGTTCGTCTCAAGACCTTAAACTCTCAGTATCAATCTGAAGTCAAAGTGATCAAGGACCACAATTTTGACAGTAATTATCGGAAATCGTTGAAAATCAATAGGCTTCTTCGTCTCATGAGCTTAAAAACTGTGTATAAATTTAAAGTCAATCGGATATTAACTTTGGTCTCTAGAGCATCCACAAGCTATTTTGAAGTGATCAAGGGCCATAACTCTGGCAGTAATTATCGGAAATCGTTGAAAATCAATAGGGTTCTTCGTCTCATGACCTTAAACACTGTGTATAAATTTAAAGTCAATCGGATATTAACTTTAGCCTCTAGATTGTCCACAAGAGATTGTGGACGCCGGACAGAAGGGGGCGATGACAATATACAACCACATTTCAATGTGGGCGTATAAAAATTGTGACCTGTAGGCTAGAGTTTCCACAAACAATTTGTGGACGAACAGGGGCGACGACAATATATTTATAAAAAGTCAAATAAATATTTATACCTGGACTACAGTGACCATGTTGATTACAATTATCTGGACAAGATAGAGTATTACAGTCGGTACCTGTCCAATATTTACTACAATTACATGTACCTAATACACATACACCATGATTATTACAATCTTTAACTTGACAATGTGGTTCATGTACACATAATATAGTTGTTATTTCTCTCTCACAGTTAAATGTGCTGTTTAAACTGTAATCAAATACAAGTTTATAATTAAAATTTATACACCAAATTATCACATATAATTATTTCATACAGTATGCATCAGCTTGTGTATTTTTCAGATAATATCTAATTTTTAATGGCTTAATCAACACTCAAATATACACAAATTGATTATTTAAAGTACCCAAGTCTTTAACTCAATATCATCCAAAGTCTTAGACATCGAAAACACAAATTATTTGTTAATTTAAATCACCATTGATGTTGTGATTTTACCTGGAAAAGATGTGGTTCTGATATCCAATATTTAAGACAAAATAAACATTTTACCATTGGTACACGAATCGTGCACCGGTACTATAATGTGTTTCAGCGCCATTTGTAACAAGGAACTTGAAGAACAAGTCTAGACATATTCCACAAGGCATGTCAAACGGTGATGCCATATTTTTATCTGGAGAGCATGCGCACCAAATACTATCGGTGCAGACTAGAATAACCAGACCCTAGAGATTGCCATTCGATTGAGACTTCTGGCGTATTTTGCCGAACATAACTGATTGGAAATTACAGTAAAAACAGAAACGATTTAATGTAAATCAGTTTATATACATTCATATTACATTATTATATCCATTTTGACCAATTTGTGTCCATTTCTAGGTCCCAAATATATAGGGATTTAGCTCCTTTAACATTTAATAAAGAAAACAAAATCAAAATATCAATGGTAAATAATCTCTTGGCCCAAATTCAAATTTTAAAATATTATTAATGTCAGTCAGTGGCTTTAATATTGTTGTTTCAAATAAAAACATAGTGTTACCACGTAATGAATATACTCCCCCCCACCCCAGCAGCTTTCTGGCCGGAGCTAAGATTGGATTACATTTCAGTTGCATAATTAGTTGTGCACTTTCATTGTGTCTCAGTATGAAGAGAGGACATACGCGTATGCTATAATAGCTATATAAAAAAATACTATATATTTCTTGTGATATCTTACAAATACACCTGACATTAGAACTTACCATTTATCAGATGGATAATTAACTAATGTATTGTTAATAACAGTTGTAGTAGATCCACCACCATCTAAATTTATAGCATTAACAACTCCAAGATCTAATAGTATATCAGCAAACTCATATAATGTTACACTGCAAATATTTTTGAAAAGAAAAAAAAACACCTCTTTTAGTTGCATGTAACAGTTCGGTTTAGTTGAATGAGTGACTGGGTAATTGAAACGGTCCTTTACCACAATAACATTGGCAAGTACATAGTCATAATCAAGGCACTGATATAGTTTGAAATTTGTGAATTATTTATATTTCTTTTAAAGAGTATTACAGAATTACAGATATTTGCACAGGAGTAGGATAAAAGTTTTAAGAGTCTTTCACACAGAATTAATAAGTTTTATTCACTAAAATATCTCAGACACCTCCTTCAAATAATCTTTTACACAGTATTCATTTACACAGTGGAGTTATTTCCAGTATATTCATTTGCAGTATTATCATTGCTCATTTGCAATATAATCATTTATACAGTATTATCATTTATACAGTATAATCATTAGATATTTTGTGTCTGTGAATGAAAAAGAACCAGTCAAAAACATCTTGTGTAAAATTGAAAAATCAATTTTGAAATTTTGTTTAGATGCCTTATACGTACCCACGTACATTAGTTTCACCATCTATTTGTACAAGTATAACTCTACCATCTTTATCATGGCCGACAGCTGACCGGGCTGACTGTACAGTAATAAATCTATCTAGAGTACCTGTAAAATAATTAGACATTGTTGAATAATAATAAAATGTCTTCTCTATATTATATGTACATGTATAAACGAACCTTGAGGAAACAGAACTGTGGTTAGATGGATAATACATATTTATTGTATTTAATTTTCTATATTGATAAACATCATAATGTTAAATTTGTTACATCTGTTAGATGGATAATAAGGCATGTATTTAATTTTTGTATATTGATAAGCACCATAATGTTTAACTTGTTCATTGATAGTTCTGTTAGATGGATGATATTGTACATTATATAATTTTCTGTATTGATAAGCACCATATATTGTTAAACTTGCTTTTGATGGTCACAAGTTGTAATACCAGAAATATCATTCACAGTAGCAGGGTTAATTATTACATCAAACTCATTAATGTTGATAAAGTTATGAAATTGCTTAGCTCCGCTTAACTTTAGCTCGAAATATTAATCATTCAAGTCAAGACATTCATTTAACATTCTACCTCAATTAAAAGCAGAGTTGTTATGTTCCAAAGTCTTGACCAATCAAATTGCTTATCGCTCCTTCGCCTAAGCAGGAAATTTTTAACATCAAACATAATCAAAGTAATGATATAAATCTATATTCAGAGTTTCATCTCTCTCACGTAATTATAACCAAAGTTATCATGCCCCAAAGCATCAACCAATCGGATTGCTTATCTCTGCTTATCGATCAATCAAATTGCTTATGGCTCTGCTTACCCTGAGCAGAAAATGCTCATTATCGAACTTAGTCAAGGTATTGATGTGATAAAACTATACACCAAGTGTCTTCACTCTTACTTAATTAGAACTAAAGTTATCGTGTCCCAAAACATCAACCAACCAAATTGCTTATATCTGCTTACCCTAAGCATAATATGCTCATCTTCGATCCATCAAGGCATTGACCTAATAAACACGGACAGACAGACAGACAGACAGACAGACCCATTGTAATAGTCACCTGCTTTCTTTGAAAGGCGGGGGACAAAAAAAAAAAACCCAGGCCGGAACAAAAGTTTGGAACTGGTTTTATTTCTTCAGTAACTTTGAGTCCACCAATTTTAATATTTCATAGGGTATATTGTTTTGATGAGTAGTGACAATAAGATGTCTAGTAAACACCACAGATGATCATGACAAACACTATAGTAATATAAACCTGACAAATACTATCACTTGATGATACATGTATGGTGGATGTGATGTCAATACGAAGTGTAATACGAAGTGTAATATGAGAATAAATGTAGAATTATCCAAATTATCTTCATTTCTACAGTATTTGACATCTCTAGTTATGAAAATATTTCATTGTTCTTACCCGTTTCTTGTATCTCAGGACATTCGTAATTTTTACTCTGATCAATGTAAACCTCACCATCTCGAATTAACCATATAACACCACCTATTAACTGTTTAAACTGTTGTGCTACTAAATCTAATTCTGATAAATATCTATAATAAAAAACATGAAAACTTATTAAATTAAATGTATAAGATTGTGATTCTGAAATGATCTGAGATTATTATTATTATTAATTATTTCTTTGTCTATGAGAAAATGTCCTTCTTGACTACCACCGAAGCAAAATACCAAATTTGGATGGAAATAAACAAAACAAAACAAATTTGATAAATTTACTGAAAGTCATCATTTTTCAGTTTCGGGAAGACACATTGAAAGATCTGATAGTAATAATGATGTTTTTAACCAATTTTTTTAATTAAGGCTAGCATTTGAACAGGAGCACCTATCACTAGGGACCGGGTATCATTCAGATTTGATGAAAAAAAGAAAGAAACTGAGCTTACCATCTATAATCTAATACACATATTCAGTTAATAGATTGCCATGCAGAAAGTATTAAATACCATCAAGATTCATCAAATAACGCCCAGTTTGTGCTACCCTTTAGTTTATGAAACACCATTTAGTTTTGACATCGGTCATCTAGTTTATGACCATTTAGTTTAGTTTTGATATTGGTCATCCAGTTTATGACCATTTAGTTTCATAAACTAGACAACCGATGTCAAACTAAACAGTAGCACAAACTGGGCGGTTTTTGATGAATCTTGATGGTATTTAACATTTTCTGCATGGCAATCTATTAACTGAATACTAGTATGTGTATTAGATTATAGATGGTAAGCTCAGTAAGCTCAATTATTATTATCTTTATACAACACCTTTCACTCATCTGTTAAGAGGCTGTGTACAAAAACTTTCAGGTACAATAGGATATCTCGTCAATATAATCAAATATATAAATACATACAAAAGCATCGCTAACGCTGCAATATACGTCCACATTCCTACTTTGATTGATATGGTACTTTTTAAAATGAAGAGAATGAAATATGAAATGGCTGTAATATGACAAGAGGGAAAGAAGGCTAGGCATTGAGTTTGTTTTGCCAAATTTACAGACTAAATATTAACAAAAAAGTGGGTGTGACACTGCCCTAAGGGGTCAGGGCATGCACCAAAATAAATAGTTGCGGTCTTTACAGTGTAAGGAATAAATATGCAAAGTTCCAAGATGATCCATTCAGAATTGCAGTCTGTAGACGATAAATACAAAAAATGGGTGTGGCTCTGTCCCTGGGGGTTGGATATGGAACAATATAAATAGGTACAACCCTGTTATTGAAATGAATGATATGCTGAATCAGACCAAAATCTGTTAATTATTGCAACCTGAAGAGTATTTACTGATAAAAACTAACAAAAAAGTGGGTGTGGTACCACACCCCTGGGGGTCGGGACATGCACTAAAATAAATAGTTGCTATCCTTACAGTATAAGGAATAAATATGCCTAGTTCCAAGATAATCCATATAGAATTCCAGCCTGTGGACAAAAAACACAAAAATTGGGCGTGGCTCTGCCCCTGGGGGTGGACATGGACCAATATATTTATAGGTACAACCCTATGCTGGATCATTCTGAATTGGATCCAGATCTGTTAATAATTGCAAACTGTATATCATTTACAGACAAAATATCAACAAAAAGTGGATGTGGCATCGGCAAAAGGGCTGGGTGTGGAGGGGGTCGTGCACCAACATCAATAGTTGCCATCCTTGCCTGTAAACGATAAACACAAAAATTGGGCGTGGTTTTGCCCCTGGGGGTTGGGACATGCAGTTGTTGTCCATAGGCTATAAGGAATACATATCCCAAGTTCAAAGATGATCCATTAAGAATCGGGCCTGTAGGCAACACAGAGACACAAAGAAAAAATGGGTGTGGCTCTGTCTCTGGGGGTTGGGCAATCACCAAAAAACAATAGGGATGTTCCTTAGGATAGAAGGAACAAGCCAACAGTGAGGCTGATGTCCCCCGCCGAAATAGGAAAATAATTAGAGGACACATATAAATTTATCACAAATTATCTTTTACAAAGTATTGAACAATCAAACAGTATATCTTTACTTATAGTCTAACAATCAAAGTAGGAGAGTTATTGTTTTCCAAAGTCTCGACCAATCAAATTGCGTATCGCTCTGCTTACCCTGAGCAGAAAATGCTCATTATCAAACTTAGTCAAGGTATTACTGTAATGAAACTATACACCAAGTTTCATCAATCTCACTTAATTAGAACTAAAGTTATCGTGTCCCAAAGCATCAACCAATCAAATTGCTTATCTCTGCTTACCCTAAGCGGAAAATGCTCATCTTCGAACTCCATCAAGGCATTGACCTAATCAACACATACACCAAGTTTGAACATTCTAGCTCAATTAGGAAGAGAGTTATCGTGCCCCAAAGTATCAACCAATCAAATTGCTTATCTCTGCTTACCCTAAGCGGAAAATGCTCATCTTCGAACTCCATCAAGGCATTGACCTAATAAACACATACACCAAGTTTGAACATTCTAGCTCAATTAAAAGTTATCGTGTCCCAAAGCATCAACCAATCAAATTGCTTATCTCTGCTTACCCTAAGCGGAAAATGCTCATCTTCGAACTCCATCAAGGCATTGACCTAATCAACACATACACCAAGTTTGAACATTCTAGCCCAATTAGGAAGAGAGTTATCGTGTCCCAAAGCATCAACCAATCAAATTGCTTATCTCTGCTTACCCTAAGCGGAAAATGCTCATCTTCGAACTCCATCAAGGCATTGACCTCATAAACACATACACCAAGTTTGAACATTCTAGCTCAATTAGGAAGAGAGTTATTGTGTCCCAAAAAGTGTGACGGACAGACAGACGGACAGACAGAAGGACAGACAGACAGACAGACAGACAGACGGACGAACCCATTTTAATAGTCCCCTGCTTTCTTCGAAAGGCGGGGGACAATAAGTATGCAAAGTTTCAAGATCATATGTTAAGAAATGCGGCCTGTAGATGACAAACAAACAAATACAAGAAATGGGCGTGGCTCTGTCCCTTGGGGTCGGGCATGCACCAAAAATAATAGGGATCATCTTTTGGGTGTAAGGAATAAGTATGTAAAATTTCAAGATGATCACTAAAGAATTGTGGCCTGTAGGCGACACACAGACACACAACACACACAGAGACAGGGGCAACGGCAATATACGTCCACATTATGAATGTGGATGTATAATGAATGTGGATGTATAATAAAATGTGAATCATATACCCTTTTAAAAATAATATCTTTAGTCAATGAGAATAGTATCAAGTTTCAATACCCTGTATAGATATAACCATCTTCTGTAATACCAAAATGTGCATTCTGTATTCCACCTGCATCTTGTACTAACATACTGTCACTTACAATATTACCTATACATGTAATACACAACATAATGTACAATATAACCTACAATATACAATATTACCTTCAATATACAATATTACTGTACCTATTATATACAATATTACCCACTACATACAATATTACATACAATATACAATATTACTGTAAATTAAAACCACAATGTGGTAAAAGCCTAATAGTCGTTTTCTTTATTTAAATCAAACTAAAATTTGGAAATGAATGAAGGAATGAAATGGGATTTAATGTCCCACCTTTCTGCACCAAATGGGATAATGAAGACATCAAAAATTGGAGTTTAAAGGTGTTCTTTAGATATTAATCTATGCCATTAAAAAATAACAAAACTAGTTAGATTGCAGCTTGTCCTCGACGTTCACAGAGAGGAGCGAGTTATTTCTTCAGTAGCAGATAACATTATAAGACTGAAAAGATGATGTCATAAAATCAACAGAATGTAATGGGAACTTTAGATGGCGACAACTTATGTTAAGATTGGTTGATTTTAATCGTTTTAGGACCAATATGCTTTCTGATTTTTTTTCATCAAACTACTTTTTAATGAGTATGGATTAAAAGTCCACATTTGCCTTTTAGTCTTAAATATTGTGCCTTCAAGATCAGTCAATTTCAATCATTTTAGGACCAATATGCTTTCTGATACTTTGATAAAACTACTTTTTAATGAGTATGGCCTATGGACTGACATCTGCCTTTTAGTCTTAAATATTGTGCTTTAAGTTGAATGTATACAAAATTAATAAAAGAAAAACAGTTAACCTAAACAAGCTCCAGTGGTTGTATTAAAAAATCCACCATTTACAGCAACAACACAGTTAGCTCTTGTTGATGTCTCTGATACGGTTGTAAGGTTAGAGTAACCTGGTTGACATGTTTCTGCTTCTAAAGGCTCTAATACAGATAGTGTATTCAACGGATAGTCTACTCTTTGGTAACGTACAGTAACTGGATGTTTGAAGTAATATTGTCCGATTTGTTTTACCATGTGCTTTACTTCCACAAACGGATAAGAAATATTGGTATCTGGATTAGCTTTAATTTTAGAATGAGTAACATTTCCATATTTGACTTCCTGACATTCTCGGATATGTCTGTTGGATCTCTTTACACGTGGACTGTGATAGTCTTCATATGGTTCTAGCAAATCCATGGCATCAGATGCATCTACATCACTATTTCTGTAAATATATGAATCAATCTAATGAGTTAAAGTTATTATTACAATATCTCCCATTAAAGCATTGTCAATGTAACAGCTGTTTAACTTCCTTTAGTCAAAAACCTGTCACAAATTGTAATTATTATCTCAAGGCAAATCATAAATACATGTACATGTAATAAATGGTAAAATTTAATTGGCAATTTTTTTCACGGCACCCATATTCACGATATAATTTACAGTTCATCATAAATATTATAGAAAATGTCAAACAAGAGGGACAGGGCCTTAATTGCACATTAAATCTACCAATAGTACAATATCTTCAAAATAAATAGTGTTTAAACGAATTGTCCATTCTTAGGAGTAAGTGTACATTGAGGATTTCACCCACTGTGAACATGAATACCAACAACCATGGACCTTATAATATTATACTCTTCAAAAAAAGTAGGGGATATTCAGAAACAATACAAAACTGGGAAATGCACTGCTGTTTTTATTAGAGGTAACCAGTGTATGTTAAAGGAGCTAAATCGCTAATATTTGGGACCTAGAAATTGACCCAAATGGGTCGCAACGCATATAATAATGAAATCTGATTGTATATAAACTGATTTACATTCAATTGTTTCCGTTTTGACTCTAATTTCAAATCAGTTATGTTCAGCGAAATACGGCATATGTCTCAACCCTATAGCAATTTCTAGCGTCTGGTTATTCCAGTCTATTGAGCAGACTCTCCTGTTGAATATGTCTAGCTTCATACTTTCTGGTCACTTGTTGCAAATGATGCTAAAACGCACTATGGTACACGATTCGTGTACCAATGGTAAAATGTTTATTTTGTCTTAAATATTGAATATTAGAAACCTGCCTTTTCCTGGTAAGATCACATCAATGTTGATTTGAATTGACAAATAATTCATATTTTCAACGTGTAAGATATTGAGTTAGAGGCTTAGCTACTTTAATAACAGGCCAATTGCCTACACATAAACATAAACAGTTCATATGGGCGGCTTATCTGACGGCCCCATTTCACTCGCAAAGAGATACACTGTCAAAAGTGAAAATGGACGTTTTTGACTTTTGTCTTAATAATGAGTAATTGCTCCACCAATCCTCAGATATTCAACAATATGTCGTGGCATGCTCCTAATCAACTGTCCAATCACGATTTGGGGCAATATGACCCACTCCTCTTGCAGTGCTAAGGCCAATTCTTGCAGTGTTGTCAGTGGACGTTGATGTCGACGAACACCACTCCCGATCAAATTAAACGTAACACACTAAAGCAAAGATACGCTTAACAGTAACTCTTATGCAAGAACCGATAGGAAAGCAAACATGGATAGGATAAACCTGCAAGCGGCAGTTTTCATCAACCCTTCCTTGAAGTGTCAAATTTGACAATGAACCCCTCCCACGTGTATGGCGCTATTGCATGTCGCATGTGAAGCTCAGTGGTTCTGTTGAGGCGATAAGTTCCTAATCTGTGAACATACTCACAAAGCATGTCAAGTGTCCATGACTATTTATCATATCACAACCTGCATAGGTTTTTGCATTTCAATATTTCCTACTTTTTTTGAAGAGTCCATGCTACAACATATATGTAGGACCTTTTTATTCTTTTTTAAATCAAAGCGAATTTTCAAAAACACAAAAAAGAAGCATATTATGAAGAAAATGTCCCAGCCCTTACATTTTAACAAATTATTAACTTCATTATCTAAATATGATTTCTAACACATTTCAAAGAAATCCATTCAATTACACTGAAGAAGAAGACTACCAAAAAGTGTTCCTGAATGAGGGCAGAAGGAACATTACATATCAAATAAATAAATGATGTTTCATACTCTGTGGGTAAAATCAATAATTGAGGTTTCTCAAATGAGCAGATTGGTTGAGTTTTGGCAATCTGTTCATGGTGAGGCCGGAAACGATTGGGACACCACTCATATGTACTAAATAAATAAATGATGTCGGATACTCTGTGGGTGAAAGCAATAACTGCATTTTCTTGCAGTCAGTTTTAAACACCATTTTTTGGTAAGGTTATAAATTTTCCATTTTGCTTGTAAATTTATCTCAGAAACTACTTGTCAAATTGTTCTGAATTCTTTAATCTTATTGGAAAAGTATGGTGGCCCCTAATGGTTCCATTTGTTAATTTATACCTTTTTATTGTAATTTACCTCATATGAGAAAGATTCACTCTGCACTACAATGAAAGAGAGAGAGAGAGAGAGAGAAATGGCGTTTAACGTCCACTCGACACAAACCAGGTCATCTCGGGACCAACATATGGTTTAATTTTATTTCAATAATTCGCTTGAGCGTAGGGGTCTTTAGCAGTGGGAGGAAACCGGAGGACCCGGAGAAAACCCACGAGGTTGGACAGGCGACCCTACTCCTTGCCACGTACAACCGGGGATTCAAAACCACACCAGTTAACTCAATGACAGGCTTTATGATACAGCGTGCGCACGCTAACCCTTCAGCCATCTAACCCCCCTCTACAATGAAAGAGTGTTTCGCAATGAAAACTATGATCAATAAAAAAAATCATGAAAAACACTGCAGTGAACAGTTTTACGTCGCAGAGTCAATCTTTCTCATCTCATGTGAGGTAAATTACTAGAAAAGGGTATAAATTAACGAATGGCATCAATAGGCCACCATAGAAAAGCAACTTAAATGATAATTATATTTCAAAATTCTGTGGCTACCCAAAATCATAGAAATTCTTTAATTTTATTGGGAAAGTGGGTGTGACTTAAATAATAATTCTATTTCAAAATTTCTGTGGCTACCCAAAATCACTGAAACTAGTGAAACTGTTATATTTTTAAATATTACTTAGATGCCTAAATTTCTATACCAGGTATTTTTGAGACAATGTCCCCAGACACAGATTTAGATGAATCTATATACCAAAAAGTGACTTTTACAGTTCTTTCGAAGGATATGATATTTGAATATTGATAATTATAGTGAAATTTTGATCCTGTAGCTTTTATTTCACTTTCTAATCTGTAGATTAAGAAGAAACGTCACAATCTTTATGTTGCTGCCAAGGAAGATAACATTTCAGGTCTTTTTCTCTCTATAGTAAATATGTTCTTAAATGTCACTCTAATGGTAAGGTGAGTGTGGAGTTTGTAATAAATTACTGACTTCAACTCATTTCTAAAATAATATTTGTGTTGTTTCATATGTGTTATTCAGATATTGTTGACAATATAACCTGTTTAAAAAAATAAATTAATAAATCAAATGCATAAAGTTATTATCAATAGTTGCAATCAGTAGACAGATGTAGCACATGGCCGATAAATTTATCAATATGCTTCTTCGTTGAATTGAAAAATAACGAGTTCTGATGCACTGAGGTGACTGGATAGTGGATACATAACCCCTATATTCAACTTGATTTAAAGTTACAATTTCATATTTTCTAAGAAAGTCAAAACATAATTATTTCTATGTCTTTTGCTCAATAGGTTGTCAACTCACTATTATACGATCATAGGTGTCATTCTCACACTTAAAACTCATTTACACACGGAAATAATAACACAATTACCTCCCTTGTTTTCTATTCTCCCCCATGGAGTAGTTATCTTCAAACGTTGGAATTTGAAGATGAAAATGATATTTTTGCCAATTTCTCAACTGGCAATAGTGAATTATAGGATTAATAGGATTATTCTTTAACAAGGTAGTTTTGGCGTGTAAATTGTCTCTTCGGATATAACAGACTTCGAATGATTCTTATATTCAATTCTTTAATATACTGGAACATTAATATACATATATCGTCATACAGTACTGACAGGCCAGTTACTGCACTTAGTAAGGGATCCTAACTAGTGACTGCCTTCAATGTACAAATTTTGTAATATTTAAGGAAAATCAGATAAAAAGATAAAAGTAAATGTTGTAATTAAAACTGACATGTCGATAGATGAACAATGCATAAAAGATTAAACAATATAATAAATCAACAAAAACAATAGATGGATTAACGTCGTTACCAATGACGGCATGAAAAGTGGTGACAGGTTAACGACTTACTATATATATATATAAAGTTGACCTTAAAGTGGTTAATTTAAGAAGCACTAATCATATTAGCAATAGCAGATTATCACACCATTATAGTAGGACTGTTTATAGATACCATCTATTTTAAGGCTTTATTTTAATACATTTTAAAAATATAACTTAAAAATATGAAATTGCAACTTTAAGCTCCCAACCTGTACTTTTTAAATTGTACATTTTAAAAAAAAGAAACTTTACAAAATACACACTTATTATTGGAAATTGCATACATGTACATGTACTTGATCAATCGGACATTAATAAAAATATTCTGCCTGGAGTGTTCACAAGATTTTACAAAGCAAACAAGTATAAATTGTTCAGATTTTCGATTCACTAATTCTAACAAGGTGAACAAGGGCTATAACTCTTGAAGTCATTAATATACATACGGACAAAGACTAGTAATTATTTCCCCTTATTTCATGATGGACGAATGTAGTGCGAGTTATAAATAGACAATTTTTCCCTTAATTTTTTTCTCCCCTCTTCCTGCATTTTTGGGTTGACTTTTTGGTCTAGAATTGGAGAAAAGGGATCAAATTTGCAATTTCATAGCAGTTTTGGGTAATACTGATGATATTACAGCGGAGGGATAGGGGGTGTAAAGTGTCTTTCTGCAGAGCAATCATTGTGTCGGAAGTGAGATTTTCACCCCTGTCAACTTCAAATCCGTGTAGCAAAAAATCTAAATGGTCAACCCCCTACAAAATTATGATGAGGAGATTGCCAAATGTTGTCCCCATTGTGCCTATAAAGATTGGAACCAACGGAATGTTGAGCAAAAAGCTACAGCCTGTGATGTTACAGTCATTTAACATTGAAGTCAATGGGCAAATAATTGCTAGTCTGAGTCCATACAGTAGTTGAAATTCAATAAGATTCTACAAAATTATCACAGGCAATAACTATGGAAGTTAATATTATCATAATCGCTGAAATTCAACAGGATTCTTCGTGTTATTAAGTAATAATGTAAAGAACATGATGTCATCAGATGATAAATGTAGTATGTTCACTAGAATGTTTTGATGACGAACGACAAAATACATAAAAATTGGATTATTATAAATTTGAGTTGGAAAAATAGACGGTAAAGATTCCAAAATAGCCTTAGAAACGAGATGGGGGAAAAGCCTTATTTTCATATTAGTTGTCATTAGGTCGCGCCAGTATCGAAGAGAGAGCACTAGAGCAGGGGTCTCTAAGACTTCCTTACTAAAGTAACTAGGCTGATTCTATACATGTAGGCCCTAATGATATACAAAAAATATAACATAAAGGTGACAATATACAACTATTTGAAATATGTTGAAGCATCGCCTTTGTCTTTGGGCAAATGTTTGACTGAAATCAGCAGAACATGAACATTGTACAGCGTAAGGCTACATAATGTAATAACATAACAACATACAATTACAAACAAGAATTAAGATTGTAAAAAGGTTTCACCTGCAATGGCTGCATTGTTGGCAGACACAAGTGACGATTATAATAAATTCAAATAGTTTCAACAACATGCCAGTTCCAACATCGACAAATTCTTACTCATTAACAGGGATCAGATCAAAATAATATTTATCTACATTTTTTGATTTTTACCATCTCGTGATGTAAAAATAAACAATCTCTAAATAGAGTAGCCCCCCCTTGTGCTCTAGGAAAGTGAAATAAAACCAAGCTCCGTGTAGCAGATACGTAAACTGTAACGGTTCTGTTTGTGCGAACAGGCTTTATTCCAGCCTTCACCTGTCCTTTGAGCAGTAGATATTGTATAGTGCTACACGTAAAGCTTGTTATATTCACTCCTATTTAATGTTTTGTGTATCAATTAACCAAATAGTATAGGCATTGCTTTCTTTATTCCTAAATTAGAAATCATTGACGTGAGACAATTTCCCCGCAGTTCCCTTCTTAGCTGCGAACAAGCATGATGCTATTTTTAAACCAAGGGCGGTAATTCTAAGTTCAAGCAGGTGCCCGACCAATTTGACCAATCAGAATGTAGTATTTTATGATATCATGTAGTTATTGAATGGCGGCGAAGAAAAGCAAGTGCCCTTTGGTAAGAACAAAAACAGTGCTTTTAACACCTTAATTCGTCTATTTTGCACCCTTAGTACTAATTAACTAATCAAGTTCTTAATATTTTTCATCACACGTTATTTTTGTAATTGTATGTGTCCTTTCTAGCTTTCACTCCACATGTAAACTTCACATTTGATCGTAAATTCAACTATCCTTCTATATGTTTCAATAATACTATCACCTTACTATTTAGTTACTAATAAACAGCTGACAAAAAACTAAACAACCTAGGCCTAACACCAAGACTTATTTTTGTTAGTTTTATTTCATGCTACATCTATATCTTGTGTGGATAAAATATATCTAAGCTACATGTAATATAAGTTATTTGATGTGATTGCATTTGCAGTGTCTTTGGCCTTGGGAATAAAGTTTTTGTTTTGTTAGCCTTAAAGTAGCTAAGTCTCTAACTCAATATCATCCAAAATCTTCAACATTGAAAACACGATTTATTTGTCAAATTAAATCAACATTCATGTTGTGATCTTACCGGAAAAACATGGGCTTTTGATATCCAATATTTAAGACAAAATAAACATTTTACCATTGGTACACGAATCGTGTACCATAATGCGCTTCGGCCCCAGTTGTATCAAGAGACTCAAAGGACGAGGCTACACACATTGCACCAAATCAAACGGCGTATGTAGACTGGAATAACCAGACACTAGAAATTTGCACTCGCTTGAGACTGATGGCTTATTTCGCCGAACATAACTGATTTGAAATTGGAGTAAAACCGGAAACCATTGAATGTTAATCAGTTTATATACATTCATATTACAGTATTATATGCCTTGGGACCCACTTTTGTCAATTTCTAGGTCCCAAATGTTAGCGATTTAGCTCCTTTAAACTACAATCTGATTAAAATACAGGTCTATATTGCCGTCGCCCCTGTCCATCGGTCTGTCCTCCACAATTTCTTGTGAACACTCTTAACGCCAAAAGTTATCATCCGATTGTTTTAAAATTGATATATGTTGTTTACATTAGTGAGATGAAGAATCCCATTTAATTTCAATAATTTGCGTTTATTATGTCTAGAGTTTCACTTTATTGAACCTTGTGAACGCTCAAACGCCAAAAGTTATCATCCGATCTGTATGAAATTGATATGCATCATTTAGATTAGTAAAACCACGAAACCTATTGAATTTCAGCCATTTACAATAATTACTTCTAGAGTTATGATCCTTGTTAATGCTCGATTGATGAAAGTATGAAATTTATATGCATCATTTAAATTTGTGAAACGGAGGTCTATTGAATTTCAGAAATTTCCGTCAATTATGATGGCCCTTGTTTTACTTTGTGAACCTTGTGAACGTTCCAATGACAAAAGTTATCATCCGATCTGTATGGAATTTATATGTATTATTTAAATTAGTAAAACAAAAAAGCCTGTCAAATTTCAAAATTTTCTGTAAATTACCTCCAGAGTTCAGGCCCTTGTTTCAGTTTGTAGAACCTTGGGAATCCTCAAACAACAAAATTATAATCTGATCTATATGAAACTGTCTTCTAAATGCACCCAATTACCTACAAAACAATAAATTTGCGACAACCTTTGTCAACCGCTCGGACAATTTAGCTGCTGCGCCTGCGGGCGTATGTTTCTTTGCCTGGCAACCTATCTTTATACTTTCAATGGCTTACACTACATGTACATGAAGGTCTGACCAGTTTTATTGAAAGGTCACAAGTGGCGTTTGACCCTTTGACGTCAGACATTGATTAATCAATCAGCTTTGAAGTTTCTAGTAGTTTACCCACAGTTCCATGCATGACACACCAGGAGTCGCCGTAACAGATGATTTCATTGGCTTATACCTCATGCCATCCAGAACGCATGTTATATAACAAACTTCTAGATCCTAGTGTAGTATAGACAAATAAAACGAGATTGTAAACTATAAAAAAAAACGAAACAAAATAGGATCTGTGTTTTAATCAGATTGAAATGAAATGAAATGGGGTTTAACGTCCTACTGTTCTTTAATCAGATTACTGTAAACTAATTCCATCAATTAAAGATACATTATGGGAGATTCGATAACAAGTTGGCAGTTCTCACTATAATATTTAAAAACTAGATAATGTAAAGGCAATTTGCTGAAAATTTAATTCAAATTGATTCACTCTGAACCGAGAACTAAGCGATTGAAATTTCCGCCTAGCCTCGATCATCATTACTAAAGTCAAATATAATTTTAAAAACATTACAAATCAGACTCATTTGAATTGTTGACATTTTTGCTCAAATCAGATGACCCTTTAACTCTGGATATCGGCACGTAAAAGGTAAAAGTTGATTTTTTCAAACACAAAAAATTCGACTCTGATCCTGGCTATCCAGAAATGTATTAACTTCAGAAATAGGAGACTCATTGAACATACATGTACTAAGTACGGCCCATTGTGTTTATTTTCACGTCAGTTAAAGTTGATTTTTCATTGTTTTTCATATTTAATTCAAAATGGTGACCATCAGTTGACCGAAAACAAAATTCGATTCAGAAAATGTAACTCCCATGTCTGTAAGTAAAATATCGAAAAAGCCTTAGGGATTTTCCACATTTTAAGATGGTGGCACTTCTGGTTCGATCGACAAACTCCATATTGTATGTACGCATCTGTAATATCTTAGCTAGTACAAATATAAATTTTGAAGGCAATCTGACCTATTTTGAAGGCAATTTTTTTGAAAACTTTGATCCTTAATTTCACCAAGGAGAGATAACTTAGAAAATTTCTAATGACATCGTTGAAGTTAGATTAACCAGATCTACTTACAATCCTAATTTCATGAAAATTGTATTACATGTGATATGGTTTTACTTCTGAGGCGAGATGTCAATGACATAATATTCGAATTTGGAAAATCAGAAATAGCAGATTTAAAGTAAATGTTTTAAACTACTTGATGAAAAAAAGAATTAATAAAATAGATCAAAAAGTCACAAAGTTACAGCTGTGTTGGTCAATTTTTTCATCAGTAAATTTTGGTGATTTCGAAATCGTAAAACGCTTTGAAAATATATTGATTCCAAAGCCACCACCCATTCTTGGAAGGGGGCTAACCAGAAATGTATTAATTTCGGAAATTAAGATGAATTCAAGAAACGGCGGCCAATTTAGATTATTTTCAAGCCGTTAATGGGAATTTTTCACTCGTAAACAACTTTGTCGGAAAGAAAAACATCAAAGGTGAAATTCAAATTTTTGAAATATTCAAATACCAAAGATTCGACCATGAGCCAGGCTATTAATTTCAGAAATAGGAGATGGGTTGAATAACTACGGCCTATTGTGTTTATTAACAAGTCCGTTAATGTAGATTTTTCACTATTTTTCATATTCAATTCAAAATGGTGACCATCAGTTGACCGAAATAAAAATTCTGATATTTAGGCATTCCTTATTCAGAAAATATAACTCATGTCTGTAAGTAAAATATAGCAAAAGCCTTAGGGATTTTTCGCGTTTCAAGATGGTGGCAATTCCGGCTCCATCGATAGACTTTATATTTTGTGTAGCACAGAAAAAAATTGCAAGGCAATCTGAAATTGCTAATGACATCTTTCAAGTCGCATCGGTAAGATCTACTTACATTCCAAATTTCATGAAAATCTTTCAGATATTAAAGAAGTTGTCAAATTAGTCTCAACTTCTGGGACGAAATCACAGCAACAAATTTTCGAAATTCTGAAATTGCAGGTGAAAATGAATTTTGTCAAGGTACTCAAAGAAAAAAGAAGTAGGTCAAAAAGTCACAAAGTTAGTCATGAAGGTCAATTTTTATCATTCGAAAAATTCAGTGATATCAAATTTGTAAAACATTTTGAAAATGATTTTAATCCACAGCCACCACCTATTCTTTTTGGGGTGGGGGGGGGGGGTCAAAGTTTCAGAAAGATCCCATGGTTAGATACTGAGATACAAGGTTTATGGGAAAATAACAACAGAAAAAATAAAATAATAATCTTAACAGGAACAATAAGCTTTCATATGTAATATGAAAGCTTAACTAGAACTGTGATGCAGTAATGACGGGTTTCACCGGTGCCACGTTACCCTTGAACTTATGTCACTTCCAGTGCCACGTTACCCTTGAACTTATATCACTTCCGGTACCAATGAAACCGTTCAATCATATGGTGAAACTTTTATGCAAATCAAATAATAATGAACAGTTTCATGGACCAAAAACTGTTAAAAGTGACTTGCAGAAAATCGTCTATTTCTCCGCAACTGAACAAGTTAGAGACCATTTTGTGATATCTATATGATCATATGCATATGGGTTCATTCTATACTATTCAAAAAAAGTAGGGGATATTTGATTTTTAAGTGTTATTAAAGTCACCTAATGAAACTGACGAAGAAACAAATGACAAAATGAAATGAAGTTCACATTCATCGATTTATTCCAAATGATCGTTAGACTAAGTAAGGCACAGACTGACCATTATAAGGGTAAAATGATACCCGGGGTCAAACAGCAAAGTTACCACAGCATCACAACCAAGTCAGTAACGGGTAAATCCTCCT